AAGGCATCATTCTCACTCTCGCCCGTGGCCATAGCACGAGCTTGACTGAGTGCTTCTCCCAAAATTAATGAAGTCAAGTGGACGAAGTGATGATTCATTGATAAACCATTTGGACACCTTTTTTTGGAAGGAACTCATTCAGTCGACCAAACACACAGTAGAAGTCGGACACTTGCACATTGATAGGCAGTGATTCTTTGCTTATGCTCCGTTCACTGCATTTCGGCCATCAAGCCTGAATGTAGGTCAATTCTGAGCGCATGGTTCACTGTCCAAGTCCATGCCATGAAAGCAGTCGGCGCTTGGTGTGGATCCTAAAACACTACAGCCATCAGTGGCACACCATGCCCACTGCAATTTTTTGGCATCTTGTGTTGATCTCAGAAAATGTCCAACCTATAGGAACTCAATCACGAATAGAACTCTTTGTTGGCGTGCACTTGTTATGTCTTACGGAGGTCTGTCTTCCAATTTCGGCCGCAAACAAACATCCAGTTCCATGGGCAGATGGCCCGACCGGTTCTTGGATTCAAAGCAACTGGCGGCGCGGCGAGGTCATGGGCCCGTGCTGGGCGAGCTGATTTCAGCCATCCCCCACTTGGGTGAACCCTTCTCAAACAGGGAGCAGGGATGTAAAACGAATCATGTCCAAAAGCGCCGCCCAGTTTGCTTGCTCCAACTCAAGCAGTGTGGCCATTTCTTTGGTTGCTCAAACTGGTCGCAAGCCTGTCTAGGCGCAACAAAACTGCTGTGGAAGAAGGTCTGCCACCTCCCAACATTACACTCCTTGAGATCATCATGGTTACGTGGATGGCACCACCAGTTCGTAGAGGAACAATGGTCTTTAAGGTGTCATCCCTTCCCTTCCATGATTATTTCAGGGAGTGTAACCCAAAACTCCTGGGTAAACCATGGGTAAGCCATTGATGTATAGAATGTCTCTGTGACCCCTCAAGTTCGGGACCCCCCGTCCATCCCCATCCATGTTTGACCGGACGACATCGACGGGTCTTTAAGCGTTAAGTATGGCCTATGCCGTGAACCAAACCGGAAAGACACCGTAATCCAAAACAAATGGCGCTTTGAGGGTTCCAAACATGTACTCAAAAATGGACGGGGAAGTCTACGCCCTTTGGACGCCGAAAGACGCCCTTTGGCCTTTCCATGTCCGCCGGTTTCTGTTTGGTTTCTACCGATGTCCGCCTGCTCACAACCAAAAACACCGGAAACCACGCCGTCTTTCGGCATGTTTTTTCTTAGGCAGTGATGTATGCCGTTGTGAAGATCCGAGTATATCTCTTGTGAAGTCGCTCGAGGCACGTGAATGGTTGTTTGGTAAAGACCATTCTATGGTCGACCCCAAATAGATCAAGTTCGAGGAAAATAAAAAGCAAACCTCCTAGGCCTCGCCATGAAAAATGATGAAACATCCTCCGTGCCCCGGTCGACCTGTTGGAATCCCGTTGGGTCGGCGTCTCCTTGGGCGGCAGCTGCTCGTTGCGGAGAACGGCCACCTGGGGACACGTGACGCGGTTCGGTGTCGAAGAGACAAAGACCACGGTCACTGACACGAAGTGTTCTTCTATGGTGTTCTTGACAAAAAAAGGAGCTGGCAAATCACCACTGATGTGTTAATAATGTGTTAATGTGTGTTCCATAGGGGGCGGTTTGTGGGTTCATGTCAAGAACGAGTGTTGGGTACCATGTGAGCTCCACCACGTGGTTCGCAGCTCACGGCCAGTCACAGGTTAGACTGAGTTGGTGCCCTCACCTCAATCCGATCCCCACTGGTCTAGCTGGATCCCCCGAATTTGGAGTTCGAGAAACGCATCCACCAGTGTCGTTGACCACAAAGAACAACAACTTCAAACAACTCGCAGCCTGTAAACACCCTCCAACCATCCAACCAAAGCCCTTCACTTCTGAAGACCCACTCCGACCCACTCCGACGCCACCAGACCACCCCAGGCGAATCCCAGCAACGCGCCAAGGGGCGCAACGGTAGCCCTCCAAGTTCCTGAGGAAGGCCTCTTCGGCCGCCTGGTCGAACTCCTGCGGTGCTGATCTGTAAGCGTCGACTACAGCGTTCGTCAGACCGCCGCGTCTGCGTCGTCTACGCTGGCGTCTGCGCCAAAAAAAAGAACATGGTTGACATTCGAGGGATCGGAAGTACCATAGCTGGAAAGCTTGGTGTTCAAAAACCTCCTATCAATGAAAAGAAAGATCAATCCGAGGTCTGAAATGGCCTTTTCAGGGCAAGGTTTTATGGCACCACCACGACCATCGTTTCATACCCTAAGCTTGGCTCTCACATTCTAGACCATCCACCCAGTGGATCCAGTTGGGAAGGTAAGCAGGGGTTTCTCTTTCACTGAAGGCCTCTCCATCGGCCGACCGGCGCGACCGGCGCCTGGAGGCAGGCGAGGTCAGGCTGCAGTCGTTGCACCATCTCGGCGGCCCGCTGCAGCCCTGGTGGAGGCGAAGGGTGGAGACCAATGGAAAGAACAAATCAATCATCCTGCTGTGTTGTCCCGGGGGTTCACCGGGGCATGCCCCGATTTGATCAGGAATGCCAAAGTCTCGCCTGTGCAAGTCGCATTCACAAGGACCCCCTGTTGACTCCGATATCAATCTAACGATCTAGAGGGGAAGGTAAAGACCACGCAATCATTCTTCCAGAACGCCGTTTCTTTTTGCAGTCCGAAGTCTTTCAGGGATCCGACGCAGGGCTTTGGGACCAAGACCATAAGTGCATCGATATCCCCATGAACACCAAAGCCACAAAGGCCTACACGTGTCTTACGTCGTGTCTTTCTTGGTGCTTGGCGCAGCGCACGTGTCTCTCGAGGCCTAAAAGGATTGCGCCGAAGGGGCATCAGCGAAAGGACGTGTCAAGCCAATCATATTAGAGAGGTATGACCCGTCCAATGTTGTCAAAACATTAAGGGGCTTCTGGCGCTCTAAACAGTTCAAAAGATTCAAGATATACCATGATATACCCTCTACCAGGACCTTCCAAGAGGTGTCTGTAAATAGCCTCTGTCTGAGGTGTCTGGAGGTGTCCAAAAACCACTTCTCGGCCGAACCCCCCTCCATTCGATCCCAAGCGGCTGTCAATGGACCACACACCCGGTCGGCTGCGCAGCAACCTGGCAAGGGTGGAACCCACAAGTGATTTGTGGAGAAGCTGACTCCAACCATTCTGAAGCCTACATCCTCCAATACGGAAGAAGAAGGATGAAGATCTTCAAATACGTGCTTCCTCCCCTGAACACCACCCAGCCCCTTGGTTTCTCGCGTGTACCAAAACGAGAGGGAAGTGTGAGCGTGTTAGCGTGAAGGAGTTGAGTGCCTTTTCGATTCAAAGGACCTGGGTCACCAGAAAACACCAGGGTCACCAGGACCCACTGTGGTCCTGCAGTGGTCAATGGAGACCCTGTTATCTGTAATCAGTGACCACTATAATGGGTGTAAACCACCTGTAACCATCTGGTAAAACATGGTAAAACCATCTGTAAACCATCTGTAGCAGCGAAGGCAAACCAGTTTGGCGGCGCTTGTATCGCTCCAACGTTCCTGGAACCCTGCAGAAGTGGATGGCCCTTACCCAGACGATGTTGCTCAAACAGACGGGTTTCAGTTTCTCCACTTCCGTTTTTCGGCCAAAAGATATGGATGGGCTCACCTGTTGCCGGCCTCTGCGCACCGAAGCTGTGGAGCACGTTGTACGTGAGCACCGAGAAGCGCATGGCGGAAGGTGGCCGCGGAGGCGTTCCACATGGGGCTGTTGGAAGATCGACACCAGGGACCTGAATTCGTCTTCCCCTTGGGAGGTCCCTGACAATGGAGTCGTCACTGTAGTCTATCGCGAATGGTGAGTGAAAAGGACAGGAAAGGGAGCTGGGTGGACTTATTCAAAAGGCATCTTGTTTTGCTTGGTGTTTCTTATCTATCGAAAGAAAAAGAGAGAGCTGTTTGTGATATGCGATACGCTGAGGTTGGTTTGGTCAATGGTGATTGAACTCACATGAATCCTAATTCCCATGTTTGGTGGATTCAGGCATTCCCATCATTCCCTCTTCTCCACCAAACATGGGCTACTTGGGATGCTGCTCAAATTGATGGCTCGCGCTCCATGCCCCATGCCCATCAAAAGGCTGTAGACTACAGCAAAGGTCATCAACAAAACAAATGCTCAAACAATTCAGGTGTGTCTCAGAAGGAACGGCCCAAATGTGGCAGTCGGTTCTCTCTACTTCCTGGATGGCTAGAACAATATTATTTGAGCAGAATAGCAGACCTATGTGCCATCGAAGACCTGCGGGCTGCTCGTGCGCGCTGCTCTCATGCCCTCGCCTTTCAGAATGGTCCGGTTGCTGGAGCCCAAATGGGTGTGTATTAAAAGAGGGAGACCGAACCGCCGGCAACGACCCCCCACTGGGAGGTTCGGGAAATAGACCATAGGAGCCCTAACCAGTTAGGTGCCGAAGCATCACACACACCTAGGGCCCTCCGCAGGGACGGAACTCAATGCGCTGAAGACGAACGCTGAAGACGAAGGACGGGAGACGGGAGGAGATGTTCGTCCAACCCAGTGGCCCAGTCGGATGAGCCGAAAAAACATGACTGCTATCATATGCTATAATCATGATCTAACTCACCAACTTCACTGTGGCACTAATTACTGTGGTATCTATATATACTTTGACCATGGATTAGTGTTAGATCGTCGTCGGGTGGATACAATCGCCAGGGTGGCCCAAGTAGACCCCGCAAGTAGATCATTCCGATAAAATCCCAACGACCACGCCCAACGCCATCGACAACTACTGGGCACACTGCTGACTGACTGACTGACTGACTGACTCCAGCCTGTTGATCCGAAAAAAAGAATGGCCTCACCAACCAAAAGCTCCGCCGAAACGAATTCTTCGCTTTCTGGAAGAACCGCGGATGTGGTTCCTCCGCTGCCCTCGTCGACGACTCTCCGGGCTCCAGACAAGGAGTCTTCTGGCTCCAAGGGCACCTCAGTCTGGTTGCCCCTCAGGCAGGTGTTCCCTGAAGATCCCAAGAAAAGTTGGTTGAAAAAGAACGACAGGTAAAGTATGGTGAAGTACGTGGTGAAAACCTGGAAACATAGCTGTTCATGTGAAACGTGGGGAAACTGATCCCCTCATAAAAGGTTAAAGGCTAAAGGATGTTAAAGGTTATCCACTTTTCCTGGGTAGGTGGAGAAAAAGAAAATGCTTCACCCGAAAGCGAAGTTAGCAACCCAAGCACCAGCAACTTGACAAGTTGAGTAGCCCAACCCAAGTGCCAACACTCCATCACACTCCAAATTATTGCAAATCATGGAATCAGCAGCTCTATATTCAAAATGGCCCACACCAGTGGCACCCATCCACCACTCTCAACTTGAACATTCTTTCACGCGCAAGAATTCCACCGAAACGGTGCCGGTGCCTCTTCAACCCGACATGCGAACTCCGAAGCATCCCAAACACGACTTAGTGGGACTGCAAAAAAACATGTCCGATCCGTTTTTTCTTTTGAAAGGAGGTCGATGGGGCGCCCCATTCAAAATAAATCTATGCCAGTCCCAGCCAGATCATGTGATCCTATGTGATCCTCTGTGATCCCGGTCCTCACATCTCCTGAACATCTGCGCTCTGTGTCGCATGCGTCGCGACTAAATGCTCTCTAGACACATCTATACCCCCCATCTGCGGGCTCCGGTCGTACCGAGTTACGAAACGAAGCAACGCTACGGTATGACTGGCCCCTCCACACGCCCCCGGACCCCCAGTCCCATTGAACCGAAACGAAGGTGCTTGGATTGGAGCTCATTGGGCCCCCCCAGGACCGACAACAGGACCCTCGACGATGGACAGCCGACGAGACAGGCTGTGACGAAAAGGCACGGACGAAAGCCTCCGGTCGGTGCGAGGCTTTGATGGAGTAGACCGTCTCGATACAAGGATGGAGTGGGTCAGTGCCAGACCACATGGTACGTACCATATCCCGTCTATATACCGTCCATGATACCTGATGCATGGTACAAAAGGAGGGGCATCCCCTTCATCCAACCTCCACCAAGCAAGATGAAAAACAAGGCAGACCGACCCATGGCCAATCAGTGTGAGGAACCCATGGCATTCTCAGCGTTGTCGGTATAAGATGCCAGGCCCTGAGGACGGAAGGGCTGACACCCGAGAAGAGTGAGCTTACGTTGAAAGACCTGCGGATGACAATGGTTGGGCATGGAATGGCAGGGACCCTTGGAAAAACGAAGCAGTCAGGTTTGACATGGTTTAACAGACGAAGTGTTTCTGGCAATAGATATAGATCATTATAGATCTATAGTCTTTAAATTGAGATGTTGTCTTGCAGCATCCCCATCCCGTCCTCGTCAGGTGCCTATTTCACACCCCCAATGTGTCTATACCAGTCACATGGAGGCCCGGGTGGTGTGCCTTGTCCCATCGGGCCGTGGAGAGAAAAAAGGGGCACCCCGACTTCCTTCATTCAACACCACGACATGGAACTGCGGGTAGTGAGCATTTCTTGTGCGGCTGACCGTTGACTTTCATCGTTGATACATGGACAGTCCGTTGCTGACCCTTGTACTGTTGACTGATCTCCACTGCCTCCTTTGAATGCAAAACGCTTTAAATATCTTTAAATTCCATATCCGGAACTTCACCAAAAAAGCACAACTGCAAACCTTGCAGCGTTTTAGGACCCATGACCGCCACTGCTGACCGCTTTTGGTCATGACCTTGGTGAGCACGCGCCGAGCACGTGCGCCGCCACTCGGTGCCCCCGGCAGAGAGGTACGAGAGACCTCCAATGGCTCCTAAACCTTGGTGGATGGTCCGAGGTCGAAATCCGATTTCGGCATGGAAGCGAACAAGGAAGTGGGTTTCCAACGCGGAAAACACCCTGGTGGACCGCACATGAAAGAGATTCAGTCTGAAAGGGATATCAACCTTCCATGGTTTTCTAGGTGAGGCTTTGACCCACTGACCGCCCGCAGGTCGATACCGCCAAAGGTCGGTCGAGGTGCCCAGGGGTCGTCGGTCGGTCTCCAGAGCCACCCTCTTGGACGGTCCATGGTGGGTGGCCCATGGTGGCCCATGGTGGCCCCTTCTTGTTCCGAGCACCAAAAGCCTCCCTGGACCCCAGTCGGGGTGGTTCATGGACACCCCCTTGACCTCTTTTCGGGGCTATGAATGGACACCCGGAATCCGTAGTGCTGGTCATTGACTCATGTTGTGCAGAAAGGTTGTGTCATCGAGCTTTGCTTGCTCTGCTCGCTCTGCTCGCAGGCCGCCCGTTGGGTTTGTACAAATTGTGAGTCATTCATAGTCCTTCTACCCTCCAATCAAGCTCCACCCTATAGTAGCGATGGCCTCCACCCTAGTAGCGATGGCCTCCACCCTAGTAGCAGTGGCCTCCAATCAGGTTGCCTGCCCTTAACCAATATGTTCGGCTCAGCTCTGGCCTCCACCGTCACTTCACCTCAGGAAAACCATCTTCTCCCAGCGTTCTCACCACCCACAAGCCCCCTTCAACCGTCGTTTTCGCTCGCTGCTCGCTCGCTGCGGTGAGCACTGAGGATCCAAGCCAAAGCTAAAGGCCACATTCACTCCATACCTGATGAGGTCTGAACAAGAAAAGTGCGGAATGAGCAGCTATCGCTTTCGCAGCTGGTGGATCAGGACTGGACACAGCAGCTTGCTGAGAAAGACGACTGTGAAAAAGAATTCATGAGGGATCACCGAAAATCTCTGGCCGCACCCCAGTTTCAGTGCAGTAAGATTGGTTTCAGTGTAGCAAGGCATATCAAAGTACACCTACTGAACATCCTGGAAAGAACTACAAAGCATTATGAAATTCTCCAGCATATGCCAGGGAACTTCGTCGGATGCTTGATAACTCCAATCTTCGAGGCAGACCAACGCGCTGTCCACAGACTTCGTGGACAACACAAAGTGGTCGGTGGTCTGTGGTCGTTTGAGAATGAGCATCCCTTCCACCAATCGACCCCATATGGTTTCCCTTGGTCGTCTGATTTTGCACCCATCACTGGTCTCCTCCCAAAGAACCAAAGAAACTAAAATACAAACAAAAACTACTATTAATAAGGGCATTGCTACTAGTAACAAGAAGCTACTAATTAGTAGCGATGCAAAAAAAGAAATAGACGAAGGAAAAACAAACGCCTCTCCCAGTCATCGACTCCCAAATCAAGAGACGTCCCACTCATCCCACTCCCCGTCGACGTCGCGCTCCGCACATGACCATGGAGAAGCCGGTGCCCAAGCCACCGAACCTCGAAGACCGGAACCGGCGGAACCGGCCCTGGTACCAGGCCAGGGGCCAGCGGTAGTACCGCCCTTCTAAAATAGAGGTGTCATGGCGTTCTCGAGGTCTTCGGCTCTTGAAGGACATCTCTTCTGGTCCGACGCGTTGGTGTGGATGCGGAGGTGACACCATGACACCGTTCCGGAGTGGAGAGAACATCAAAAAGCGCTCCCCGAAAAGAAAGGGGAAATGGACATACCAATACAATATAGTTAATATGGAAGTCGCCCATGCTGAATACTAGTGGAAGTGACTATAGTACGAATAATTAGTACTATAATAGTATATATATATATATAGTCATAGTCCATACACCATGTTCAATTCACGTCCGATGTCACTCGAACCCGGATGGCACATACTGCTCGACCTTGTGGGAGAGCGCCAGCGGATCTGGAGCGGCGCCCTTCTGTTCGACGTCCAGGGACGTCCGATTTGACCGGCTGTTCATTGGACCTTCGGTGAAGACTGAACATAGCGTTAACTGAAGGCTGTTCATAGGTCTGTTCATAGGTCTGGCTGTTCACCAATGTGGTGAAATGATCATTTCAAGACCTTCGGTGTGGTGAAGACCTAAGACCTTGGTGAAGACCTTTTTGGGTGGCCCAGTCTCTGGGATTTGGGTCACAAATGGTCACAATGTCGTAGTCTGACTCGATTTGATCGATTGATGCACCCAAAGCTTCCAGCTTCAAAGGAGCAAGGGGATATCCTGAGATACATCCCCAGCCCAACAACCTGAAATACATGCCCCACCGAAAAATTACGGTCATGCCATTGGAGCAGGTGGTAAGTTTGGGATCTCTTGTGACCGCTATCTACAGCCTTACCTAGATTGGGCACCCCTGCGCTGCGGTGAAGGCGAACATGCGAATCTGCGCTGATGGCGACGCGCTCTTGAGGTGGTCCACAGTTGATGCCTATAGACCATAATTGTAGACTAACACCCCCAGGCCATATAATTGTTTTGCAATCCATGTCGAGACAAAAATCCGTCTACATGTTGAAAAGGAACATCTGATCAATCTAGACAAGCAATTCCACCCTGATTTTCCCCTCTTGGACCACTTGGATCGAGGACCGCTTGGACGACATCCAGTGGAACTGTTGCGACCGATCACCGCGACGATCACCGCGAAACCACACCCAGCACGCACCATATGACCATATGTAGGACTGACATATTTACATTAATTGGGATGATTGATTTCAGGGATCAAACGTCTTGGGTGGTTGGCATATAGTCCGGTCACGTCTGGGACAGAGTCTGAAACAGATCAAACCAACAAAAATGCAAACATGTTTGGACTCCCGAGCCCTTTCGATCCCCAACATATTCTGGGGCACCGAAGGAACTTTACACCTGCTCATGTTTTGGTTGGGTCTCCCCTCAATCCCCTCCAGAAAAGTTTGCCGGTTATCCACTTTCTCTGGGCAGCTATGACACATGGCAGTTAAGACTTTAAAGCCAAACATCTTAAAATGTTTGTTCAAACACTCTGCAGGACCCCCCCAAAACCACAAGAATTATCTCGTGTACCAATGGGAGTGGGAGGTCAATCGTGCGCACCTGTGGAGCATCGTGCGCACCTCTTCCACCCTTCCACGGGCGTAGCGACCGCGACCCGCGACCCACGACCGCTCCACACGGAGCAACGCACCGTACGACACGACCAACACGGTGACCGGTGACGGAAGTGACGGTCCACCTTGGTATCTTCGTAGTCCTGCAGATGGTGATGCTGACAGAGCGATGCGGAACATACTGGTGAAAAGTGGTGGCGAACGTGACTGGTGAAAAGTGGTGGCTTTTCGTGACAGACACACAAAAATATGCGTGCTGTGGCACATCTCCCTCGATGTACATGTTTGACTTCAAGAGTGCTGACGATTGCTTTCATCACATCCAAGTGCAATTCCAACAGTGGGCGGTGGGTGGCATGCAATCGGCGTCACGCCATAACGCCCTTGGTCTTTTCCAAACACCAGCGCCATATATATGCGTTTGCTTGACAACTGAGGCTAACGAGGCTCCTTGTTCCAATGGGTGGGTGGGACTCCGGGACCGGAGAAAAACCGATGTGAAAGGACTGTGAAAGGACTGTGCTCACTCACCTGAGCTGGGAGGGACTCCCTTCGACTTCCCCACCCGGTCCCACCCGTGACGGCGCATACGCTACGCCACGCTCCTGGCGTCGTTCCTCGGGACCTGAGAGTCGTCCCGAGTCGAAACCGGAAGGTTCGGTGCCAGAACTGGACTTCTATTGGTGGGTACTGTATAGGGTACATATAAGCTGTTTTGGCTAGTCCGGCTAGTCATGCCTAGAATTGCCCAACATGAAGTGATGCCCCCAGGAATCTGGACCCAAACCTCACCTGGCGCCACACCACTGCGTGTGTGCCGTATAAAGCGGTTTGGCCAACGCCATCCGATCACATCCCCTAGACTTCCAACCACCATTAATTGATTGAATGTAGGTGTCTATTTTCCGGACCAACTAAGGATGTCTGCACGACAAAACCAGCTCGGCCACCCATGTTTGTTGGTCTCGGTTTGGTCCACATCCTCTCTCCGATCCATTGCTCTCGTTGTCTTCGTTTCTTCGTTGAAAAGCGAAGCACATGGATGTGGACATCACCGCCAATCATTTTCACCCCGGTATAGAATTCTTGTAGAGGAAAAGGCCAGGAAAAAATCATCGTTTTGAACCAAAAGGCGAGGCAGCCATCCCCTTCAATTTGCTCCACCCCTTTCCCCGAACTCTCCACGACCCTCGGTCGCTGAAACACACACGCTGGACCCCGGGCTTCTTCGCTCGCGGCGAGGCCTCAGGGATTGGGGTTTCCCGGAGTCAGAGACAACCGGGGAAGAACACCTGTTAAGCAACGACACTCCGTGAACCGACTGGGAGGAGGTCGTGCCGTTGAAAACCAGGCAGCCCAGGCAGGTACCTGACCGTCCACCTGCAGCCCCCAGCCGCCGCCCGGACCAACCAAAACCGGCAGATGGTCTGCCTCAGTAGGTGCTTTGATGTTTTTCTTTCACAGAATGTCCAGTTGGCCTATTGAATAGGCACCACCCAATGTAGAGGAAATTCCTAGACTCGCGTCACCCGACCATTTTAAAAATTGTCTTGGACTGCTAGGGCACAAGCTGTCTGGGGTGTTGGACCAAAACAAGCTCGGAGATGGTGGAAAGAAGAGTCTTATAGATCCGTGGGATAGACTGGCGGGTGAAACGTCGATGATGTGTTGAAACGGTGCACATCTTCAATGTGGAAGACCTTTCCGCTGGTCTTAACCTAGAAAAAAAGAACGATTGGGTCATCTACCCCGATCCTTCATCAACTTGCGTCTTCCCACACCCGCACTGAAGACTGATCGACAAATCGCTTGGGATAACCAAAGACTGCCAAAGACTTGCAACACTAACACAGAACAGGCCATGATATCAAAGAAATCCATAGAATTGAAATACCAAAGCTGATGTAATATAATATATAATATATATAATATATTATATATATATATATGCTGGCCTGCTTTTTATAGAAGTTGATAAGTTGATTTTGAACAAATATTACTTTCCATGTTCAATCACGAGCTTCCAACCTGACAGCTTCAAACGCTTGCGGCACCCTAGAATCAAACCATCGCTAGCGCTAGTGAGACGCTCGTCGGGGAGTCCTTTGCTGAAAAAACAATACATAATTAAACCATCGCTAGCGCTAGTGAGTGAAAAAGCAATACATAATTAAACCATCGCTAGCGCTAGTGAGACGCTCGTCGGGAGGTCCTTTGCTGAAAAGACATTGCATAAATAACCATCGCTAGCGCTAGTGAGACGCTCGTCGGCGGCCCTTTGCAGAAAGACAATAAATAATTAACCGTCGCTAGCGCCAGTGCTCCTCGAGGGGGGTTTGCACAGAAAAAATAGTTAAAAATATTACCGGCATTTAAGGAAAACACTGATTTAACAGAGTGCGACGGTCGCCCCCTCCTAAATCTCCTAAAACCATCGCTAGCGCCAGTGAGACGCTCAGGGGGGGTCCTGATTTCGCTGGACCTGACTCAAAACACTGTCCTTCGCAGAAAGTTTTTGCGACCGTCGGTACTTAGAGGCTGCTCCGGCGAAGTGAAAACTCCACTAGAACCATCGCTAGCGCTAGTGACTGTTCTAAGAGGTTGCGACGGTCGCAGCCTGGTAGATCACTGTTTTCTTTAAAAGCAGGTAATATTTTTTGGTGATTCTTTCAAGGTTCCACCTGGCACCGACCATCCCCATGATGAAAAGCTTGGAAACCTGCTCCTTCCTGGGAAATCCAAAATGCAGGGTGTGTGTACGGAAAGGGTGTCAGCAAGCACTGCTTCACGAGTACTTCCAAAATACCTTCCAAGAAGCTTTGAAAGGTTTCTAAAGGGTCCACCCTTCCACTAAAATTGAATGGTACGTGAATGAGGCCAGGTTCCACGAAAGTCCTGGGCCTTGGCCCAGTCAGAGTCAGTAGAATAGGATTTGCAAAAACCTTTTCTGTGCTCTGCCCTTCCGTTTGTCCCTGGGAATTCTGGTTGGTGTGGGAACCCTGGGTGGTGTTGGAACAGGTGCGGGACCCGGTGTGGGAACCCTGGGAATCAATATTTTTTGGAAATCAACTTTTCAACTTCTTTAAAAGCAGGTCAGTATGCTATTCAATCTTGAACGGTTTTGGGTCACCCTCAACACCCCACACCCGACTGAGTCCACCTCTGGGCAGCCCAGACCTTCCCTCCTTGGCCTTTCGGCGGCCGACCTTTTGCATGGAGATCAGGTACTCCGCGATGCCTACGGGATCCCATCGACTTCTGCCCGGAAAAAAAAATCGGCCCAAATTCACATGGGCACTGCACTTGCGCGTCAGCGTTCTGGGATGGGTTGCAGTCAACCATCTGCCCATGATGGGGACCCAAAAATATCGCGTCTTCACTGAAACCGGCGACTTCTGGGAGCTTTTACGAGGTAATGTGCATTGATGCAATTGATGGGTCAATGGATGCGAGACGCTGAAAAACGTGTCCGCTCTGATGCAGTCTCCCACCTTCATCTTCGGTTTCATCCTCTACTTCAGCCTGTAGGGCCTGCGAAGAAAACGCCGCCAGTGGCGGGCCAGCAGGGGAAAACGCGGCGATGGTCTTGCGTAGCTCATCTCGCGTAGCTCAATTCTGCAACGATTCGGACCGTACCGTGAACCCGCTTGACCGTCGGCCACACCCAAGCGGCTGAAAAGGTACATAGCTCATCATAGCTGTATGCCCTCCATAAAGAGAGAGAGAGAGAGAGAGACATCCGTCTTTTGCCGGGGTTCTTTGAATTGAAACATGACACGACCACATTCCTTTCTTTCTTTGGTTGCTGGAAGAGGACACTGGCAATGTGCCAGGTCAAATCTTTGAAGGCGGCAAATCTGCAGAGGGAACTCTGCGATGAGTCGACGTGTCGTTCCCCTTTTTTACATGGTCAAGGGGAGGCATCGGAACCCTCGATGAAGTTCGTGTTCCCTCTGCGCGGCTCACAGAACTTGTACGCTGCTTGTGGCCCCCTCATCCCTAAAGGTCCAACTGGGAGAGAAGATACTTGTCACCCCAAGAATATTCAAGAATCATAGACCCTTCAAATTCAAAGGTGAAGGTTTGGGTCCAACCACTGCTACAGTCAAAACTTTCGAGTTCAGCGGTTCCACATGTTCCACTGATGGTTAGTGCAGAATTGGAAGCCACCAACGCTTTCATCATCCCTGGCTGCGAAAAACGGATAGAAACAGAATCTGGCGGGACCTGCTTTTTGCTCGTCTTGGAGCCACTGGTTTGTTGGGCGCGCTCAAACCTCAGCATGTAGTCTCGTCACGATGGTCGATGACCCACGTCAAAACACGGACTGCTCTGCCGGAATGGTGCTTAGCAAACAGATTTTTCATACGATATGTTTTGGTCCCTCAGGACAAACGCTCTTTTGGTCCATTTTGACTAACAGTCACTATTATGCATGCCGCTGCCATTCGCTTATGACTAACAGGGAGTGTATGGCTTTGCGTCGAAGGAGGCCTGCAACCTGTGTCCTTCGCGTTCAAAAGGTTTTGCTGGAGCTCAGTTCCGAGGTCTGGCAGTAGAACCAAGTGTCTACCAAATTGTTTTATTAGTCTTTATGCATCTTTCTGTTTCTTTCTGCTTGTCAGACCTTGTTTGACCAGCAGTTTGTGGTTTTTCCTCTGCTTCTTCCAATGTTTTCCACACTGCGGACCGAGCACTCGAAGAAAACGGATGCTCAACCCGAACTCTGGGTTTCTGGGAGAGGCTCACCAAGTGGGTGGGGGCAACCCCGCCTATGTACTTCTACCTGCTTCCATCAGAGGCAAACCTGCCTGTCCTTCACGATTATGAGGCAAAGCCTCTGGAGGAGGAGCCGGTGAAAGCACTTCAGGCAAAGGGGAAGCAGCAAAAGCCGTCAGTCAGTGAATAGAAGACACCCGGATCCGTTGACCTCTCTCCGGCTACTTGATATTCTTCATTGGTAGGGCAACCAGGGCCCCTTTCTCTGAAAAATGACGCCAACATAACAAAAAATCTTTGTGGGGCAGCGCCCTGCAGCACCATCACCGAGGACTGCCATAGACATCTAGCAGCGGCACTGGCACCCTGCAGCGGCACCCAGCATCACCAGCACCCAAGCTTCAATGCATCTTGCAGCGGCACGAGCCCACAGACTCCCACAGCGCACACAGCCACCTCTTCCTATACTTGAAGTGATAACCCCAATAGCTCTCGCTATCTGGAGAACTAGTACTACATAAAACATTGTACACTGTACACCTTGGACTCAACGCGTAGTAACACCGGAGAGTGCACGTTGGACTCGTTCGATCGTCTTCGTATCGACCTACACACCATCTGCACTGGGCTCCCTGGCAGTGCGTCCACATCCAGCGCCCCAGGAACTTCCAACGTCCCGCTCTTGGGCGCAGAAACGCCACCTCCAAGCGCGCCGGGCACACCACACAGAATGTGCTGTGGGGTCAAAACGTCGGACACCGAGGGGTCACTCGACTTGCGCACACTCTCCGCGCGTTCCCCACACACCCCTTGAGACACTATGGCATTAGGTACCAAGGGGGTGAAAAGTAAAATGAAAGTGAAAAGTAAAATGAAAGTGTCAACATGGGTAGTGACATCGTAAAATGAATTGAAGACGGCTACGAAACGGTGAAATATTGTAACGAAACCACAGCTAACGAATTAGACAGACAAGCTTAGGCAGTTCCTTTTTTAGTTACATGGTGACTGCTTAGTTGAGACTATGCACTCACCATTCTAATTGGGGTCAGGCATTGATGCGTATGGTATGTTCCTTTTGTTTGCATTCCAAAGTTTTGAGTTGAAATCACGATTGGAAGGGAATGTCTGGTTGAACTGTAATGCGGAGGATTGCTAGTTTTGTGACATCAAAATGCAAGCTGGAGCATCAGCCAGTATGGTAGGGTGGAGCATCAGGTTTCTGTCGAACTGGTTTGTGTCGTCGTAATGCCTGCGTAGTTTCTTCCAAGCAATGCTATAGTCGGACATCGGGCGAGATATGAAAAACACCTCCGCGGATTGGCCTCTTAAATCCAAGTCTTTCCAAGCTTTTGGCGTCTTGTAACTTATATATATAGAGAGAGACCCCCAAATAAATAGAAGTTTGTAGATCCCCTCTTAGACTAAGAATGTATTGGAAACCCATGCAATCCTATCTATTTGGGGATCACTATATCTTGGATGTGGATCTACCTATCCGATACGTTCGCGCGAGGGCTCTTCTTCGCACATCACGACGCGCACCTCTTCAGCTTGGCCCGTCAAGTTACGCTGTTAGTTGGGGCAAACCAGGTTTTGACCCATCCCTATAATATATCTTGAGACAATGTTTTTGGGGAGTGAAAAACTCCTCACCGGTCTCACTGGTGAGCAATTCATTTGTGAGACAAATAGCAAGTTGTTGTTTGCTCCAACTTGACCAGAAGCAATGGTGAGCATGCGTGACCATGGATAGCCAGAATGTAAAAGAACTGCGCCAAACATGCTGGCATTGCAAAATACCGCCTGTCACAGGATGATCACAGCGTGAGAAGCATGGAAACGCCGTGGGAAGCAAGGCCTGCCCCGCAAGACCGTGTCAATTCTCCTGCAAACCGTCGCATTGTGGCCCTGTCAATTGAGATGAACTGGATCTGTCCCACTTCAGGCTTTCTAGGGAAACATGCCTGCTGTTTCCCTGCTATAGTGTTGGCAGTGATGGCAGTCTCACAGAACGTTTAACAAAGATCCGAAGGCGGTCGGCGCGCCACGAACAAGAATGAAGTGCCTTCAAGAAGCCTAACCGTCAAAAACTAGCCACATGTTTCACCCCCGCATTGGCCAAGCCCAGCTGCGGGAACGTTTGGGAACACCCACAGACCATCGGACCAGACCGGATCTGGTCCTGGAAAGGCTCTGAGAGGTTCGAGTCAAACCGCCTCCCAGACAGTAATTGAAAAACCTCTTCAGGCTTGAGGGGTTGAAGTGTCAACCGTCTATATACCGTTTACCTGTCTTGGTCGCATCCTCTTTCACCACCCACCTTGACCATCCCGTCAGTGAAGGGGCCTGGGCGATCTCGCCGATCCTTCTCCTCCGGGATGATCAGCTTCTCCATGGCCTCGGCACATCTCGGCACCCAGTGGTGAATGAATCCGAGAACGGCTGCGGAGATGGCTCCCACCCGGTCGAAGCGGCCGAACCTGCCGGCGGATCGAAGGTCGGCAGGGCTGGCTGCGGCGGTCCGACCGACGAAAAACACCCGAGGTGCCCAGGGGTGGGGGGGACCGGAGGCGGAAGATCCCATGTTCTGGGCGAAGAAGAACGGAGGTGAACATCGGATGTAGGTATGATGTAGGTATGACTGGAGCCTCCCACGCCGCGGTTCCAAACCTCCTCAGGTTCGGTACCGGAGCCCGAAAGACAACAGACGTTTGGCTCCATTGATTCCGAAACGACACGAACGAGAAGCGCCCGACCTGCACCACCCAGTTCGGGTGGTTTACAGACCCCCCCTGAAGAGGTATCTTCCATCTAAATACCAGCCAAAAGGGGGTGGTGCTGGATGATATTTGCAAAAGGTTCATTGTTGTTCATGGTTGAAGTCCCATCATTGTAACAAGGCATTGCAGTATCATGCAGTATCCAAATTGGCCTCTACGCTTAGATTTTGCTACTGCACATGCACAGCACCTCAACATGGTGCAAATGGTGCTGCTTCAAACCTCCGGAATTTCAGAATGTCCACCGACCACCCACCGGGGAGGCCAAGTTGCAAGCTAGACCGGCTAGACCACCCACCTTTCTCGGCTCCGGACTCGGAAACCGCGTCCTTTCTCGGCTCCGTTCGTAAGGCCAGGGGTGCGACCGTCGCTTCTCCCGTGCTGCCGATCGGTGCGGTCCAAGCAGGACCCAAAAACTTGAATCAGATGGCTTCCAAGGGAAGCACCGAACGGAGGGTCCAGGTATGACGTGAGCGCTCAGGTGCTTCTGGTGATTTTACACTCAAAGATAAGCGTGGAAATGGATGGCATAGGCCCCAACACGACCATGAATTCCAAATACCAAACAGTGAACTCACTCCAACTCACTGCACGAAACCTACGAAACCATGATTTGTTCAGGGAGTGTTCGCGGCAGAAGAGAAGCGCCGTCAAGGCTCTCCCTCGTAGCGCCGTCGTAGGACCTTGCGAAACGAAAACCGACGGAGTGTCGACCGACGGACCTCGCCTGTCCCAGACGCTCCATGTACTAGCACCCGACTTCACAGGTCACCACCTGACCCTTTCAAGTCTACAAAAGAGGAGACGTGTTGGAGGGTGCTGGTATGGAATACATGCCCCATTGACCCGACCCCTTTTCAACCACCCCCCGTCTGTATAATTCTATCTATGTTTCGTTTGAACCACCCCCCGTCCGGAGCGGGTCAGCCGTCACGAGAAACGTCACGAAAACGTGTTGGGCTCATGGGTGACCTGGATGGAACGACCAGGTCGTTGTGTCTCAGCGACTCTCTAGGGGCGAAGACTTCTGCGGCCTCCCAAGATCGGAGCCGACTTCGGAGCGACCAAAATCTCGGAGCGACGTCATGTTTCGCATGTCCAACGTCTTCCCGTGGACGGAGCATCGAACCGATTTTTCCAGGCGGACTTGCAGCTTCGAGAACTGCTTGGGCAAGGGACGTGGATGTCAGGGTTCTTCTTCTCCTCTTTCACTCGGTCAGCTTCTTGGTCGATGTACCTGGCTGAATGCGAGTTTCAGTAGGTCCACGTTCATCCCATGGCTTCAAATTCATGGCTACCTCCCTAGTCTTACGCTCAATCACCTGTTTGCACTGACTGGTCAGAAAATATAGTGGTTTCTTAAGGGAACAATGAATGACACAGTTCACAGTTGATGAAAGTGCTGTTTCAAATGGCCCACCACCACACCTCCGCCACTTCTGTGTCTTTCGCTTGGCTTGAACAACCGCTCTTTTCCATACTGTCTCTGGCACAGACTAGGGGAACGTCTTCCCTTCCCAGAACTCTAAACTCCAAGAAACATGCTCCTAAACGATTTTGGCCTTTCAAAAGTTCTTTGGGAAGCTTTGTAACATGATCGCAACCTTAATGACATGACTCTATTTGTTTCCTTCGCGCCAGGCCAGGCCATCCGTTTCCCCTGCGCGGTTCACGCGTGACCTTCACTCGCGCAACGCTCACGCGCACCACATGGCCGAGAGAGCCAGGTTCTTGGCATTCTCCGTGGAGACCGTCACCAAGTCGTCGGGCTGGGCGGAAGAAGAGGATCCACGTGCGACGTGTTACAGCATCGCGTGGCATGAAGCGACATGGAGTCTGGGAAGCTCGAAAATGGAAGCATGAGGCTATAGTAGCAAGAAGCTACGAGGTTGGAGGCCATCGCCAGTAGGTTGGAGCCCAGTACTACTAGATACTACTAGTAACAAGAAGCAAAGGCTTCTAGGTTGGACACCTAGGAGGCAGATTCATGGCTCCAAGAATTCAGAATCCACCTGGTCTTTAAGCCTGTCGTGCGAAGCCGGCATGAGCGTACCAACGTTCCGGTGTTCGGGGAACTCCACCAGGAACGCCCTCCAGACATCAGTTCAGTCTGCACCAGACATCTCGGTACCCCGACCAGTCGACCCCAACGAAGATGAACGTGAGTCACATCGAAAGCAAAACCGTTGAACCGTTGAACCGACGGAGTCGGCACATGAAGCCACCAAAAGATGCTGCTTAAAGCTCCCGGGTTCTATTATTGATCCATGACATTCAGATCTCATTCACTTTCACCCATCCTCACGTCAGGTATCCTCTCCACAAAGAAAGGAAAACCTGGGGGCAGCGGTTTGAACATCGCTCCGCCTGGTCTTCCTCTTTGAGCTTCAAGGCTTTCAAGCGATCACGCATCTTCCTGAGCGTCGACTTGGTGAATCTGGGCGTGGAGTCAGACTGGGCCCCAATAAGTCGTGCTTGGCACTCCTCAAGTTGGCCCGAGTTAGCTTGAAAATCGGAAGTTCAAGTTGGAACACTTCGAGTTCGAACTTTCCATTTAGTTCCTAGTAGCGATGCCCTTTGTTCCTAGTAGCTTCTTGTTCCTAGTAGTACGGCCAGGAGCCCAGCGATGCCAGGAGCCCCTAGTAGCTTCTTGTTCCTCAATAGTGTCCCCAATCCCCCCAAAAAGGTGGCCCTTGTAGGGCCTACAAGCTGTGAAATCGTCGACGCATGCAGACAGCGCAGCCCAGATGGGTGGCCACTGGTGGAGATGAGGGGGGTCGGAACACAGATCGAACTCTCCCAGATGGTCTGAGGTATATCTTGGTTCGCCAGGTCCAGTCTGATTCGAAGCCGAGATTGATTTCAAACACAAAGAGAAAGATTCAAGGTGCCCCCTCGAATTGAAGATCTGACCTTTACAGCAAGTGCCAAGCACCACAAAAACGAGACTTCAGAACCACTCGTGTAGGTCACGAACCACTCTAATTCCAAAGACCTACAAAACAATGATGCCAATGCAATGAAACCGTCTCGCGGCGCAAGACAGCGATACGGGCTTGAGCAGCTGAGGCCTCCCGACATGGTAAAATCGTCATCCCCGGGCTCCAGAGTGCGTGGCTGGCGGCCGTCCGCGTCGTTCGAGTCGACGAGTCCGACGAGTCACTGACCATGTCGTCGCGATCACCGGGCGTGTCTCATGGATGTGAACCTGAGGATTGTTCGCGGTCCCATCGAGCTGCATGCTGGGGTGTCCTCATGTTGGAGTGATTTCCGATTGTCTGTGGCTCTTGAATCCTAAAGACGGGCCATATTGTTTGTTGAAAAAAAAAGAAACAGAACCAGGAGACTGGACACTCTTCGTTTTACCAACAACATGGTACGCCGGACAAGACGAAAACATCACATGGTTACGTGGATGGCTATGGTGGTCCCGAAAAGGAAGGACTTTCCGGTGAACTCCTGTGAACTCCACTTCCATGTGATGTTTTCGTGTGAGATTGGGATGTTGTATCGATGCAAGAGTGGGACTATCTGTGAAACATATAATAGATGAAGATCCCAATGAAAAGAACACAACTTCGTATTGATTCTGAAACATGTTCTGGGCAACTCAGTCACTAGGCACCCTGAAGTTTCCATATACAAAACCCTGAAGTCCAAGACTTTTTTATAGTTGATCTGGTTTTGTGGTGAAAAAAACTTATAGTAAAACCATGGTTGTTCGGCAAAGGATGGCAAAGGCAAAGAAACAGTAAATGAATATGTAAATCTATATCATTGTGGTTGGAATCGTTTTAAAAATCATTGATCCCAATGCTTGAAAAAGGTCTCGCAGATTTGCTTCGTCAACCCGGAACCTGTCAAGTGAGGAAATCAGTTCTTCGACGACGTGCCTGTTTGCGCTGGCGGTGTCTGGCCGGTAGCGCCTGCTTCTTCTGGGGCATCTTGAAAACCAGCGGCTTCCATGGCTCCTATCAAAGGGGCACAGGGTCTAGGAGCCTCGTTGAAAACTGGACTAGAGGATCGTGGGCGATTCTTTGGAAAGTCTGCTTCTATGTCTAAAACGGTTTAAAATTCTATTATACATCTCTCTACCCATGAAGCTGGGATTCATGGTATCGGCCTCCACAGCAATGAAACTGCATTCGTGTAGCTCTAAGACACTCTTCAAATGTGTGTATCTCTAGAGTCTAGAGCCTCAAAAACCCCTCAGGGCCTTCCAGGGCCTTCCAGGGCCTTGCACGTTACGACCCTATCAGCACCCGGTCGCCGGCGACGTTCGCCGCCTGCGGCGTGGCCTTCTTCGGCCCCGTGGGCCCCGCGCGCCGCAGCACGGCGGGGCTCCTGGCGACGTGGGCCTCGACGCGAAAACCGTCGCCGTGGGCGCCCAGACCGATACAGCAGAGATCTCGGGGGTTCAAGGTTCACTCTTGTGGAAGGCCAGGTGCAAATGACCATTCACAAAAGAACAATATACAGATCTATATACCCCAGTATATATATGCAGTAGAAGAGGAATATTTTCCAGCACTGGTGGTTGATACATTCTTGCTCAAGAGACACATCACCAAATCTTGATCACTCGATTGAAAAAACCAACAAGTGGCGTCCAAATTTGTTTAGGACTATTGGCTACGGCTATGACAAACTAGCAACTGGGAACTCCCTGTAGCTCCTTGGTTGTCTGCTTGATGGGGAATATGAATACCCCCAGCTCCGAATCGCTCCCATGTATATGTGTTACGATATTGGGGCAGGGCACTTTCCTACCAAGGCATCGTGGATCGTGATGTGACACGTCTGCGTGGCTGAAGCGAGAAAAAAGACCAAGTTGGGCAAGAAAGGTGAAGGACACAGACGTGGTCGATTTCCAGAGCAAAGCTTCAGGGTCTTCAAACATAGTAAATACTTTGGCGCAAATGGGAGCAGCTTCTGGAGCAGTTTCCAGAGCAGGTTACAGAGCAAGTTCCAGAGCAGGTTGCTCTCGCAGGTTCCAGAGCGCTTTGCCGATATGAGATGCCGCGATGATGTTGTGGCCTCACTTCATACAACTCTTTCAGGGGGGCATGTCACATCTAGAATATTGAATTTGTCTGATTGCCTATACATCTGGAAGAATTAATGTCAAGATACTTCAGGATAGTTTCTGTAAATAGCCGGTAAAAATAGACGTTGCCTTCATTGCAGTTCTCAGGATTCTAAAGCTGGTTGTTTGATGTGATATGGCCATTCAACATCAAATTAGGGGGTCTATGTTGGCTTTCCTTGTGACTATTCGACAAGTGGATGGCATTTGGAATAGTTTGCCAGATCGAAAAATGTGGAACGAGTCTGGAATAATATCAAACTATCCCGAGGTATGTTGAGAGAGGGGTCTAAGGGACAATACAATGTTGTCACGCCATAGCGCTGACACGTCATGATGCTGGCCTGCTGTCACGGTGACATGTTGACATGCCATCAGGCTATTTTGCTACCCTGCTAACATGTTTTGTTTCTGACACGCGAAGTGCGACGTGGTGCCATGTTGGTTTGTTGTGTAGCTAGAATACTGTCAAGAAGGGGTGTAGACACGCTGACATGCTTCATAGAAATTGTTACACTGTTATGCTGGCGTGGTGTCATGCCGACAAAACAGTCAGGCTGTCGGGCTGACATATTGTCATAACTACTGGCATAGGTTGTCACGCCAACTTGCTGGGGGCTGCAGAGCCTGTTCCAGAAGAGGCCCCCTGGGTTTTGCTTGTTGCGGTGTTGTCATGCTTTCACATACAGTATGTGGCGCATGTCGCTATGCTGCTAAACTGACGTATTGCCGTGTTAACATGCTCGTGTGTCACGTTGACATTCACACCTTTGAAAGCAGTGTCTAACAAACACCCCCCAGTTGTGTACAGCTTGCAAACGTCGCAAGTTGATTGACAAATGCCAAATGTTGCCATTGCGTAATCAGCAACTTTATGCCCAGTTGTTGGTGATTTGTCGACAAACAATCCCGATGGGAATCGGGTTCACAGGCTTCTTTGATTTCCACGGGCATGAAAAATGTACATGGAGGATGACATACACATCCCCTAAAGAGTCACTCAAGACAGAGTTGTTTCAAGACAAAGGGTGCAGTTTGGTGAAGTCTGCCCAAATGTTCGCCACCATGTAACCCTCAGGAGTGTTTCCTTTGAAGCCAATCAGCTCAGTCCTGACCTTGCTGAGCACAGGGGTTAGGTCACTCAGATGAAGATGCATTGGAGAATGGGACGACCATGGAGCGTGTCCACACTTGAATTCCACATCCTTGGCTGACATGGCTGCGGTGTCCAAAAGCCCTTTGACCCGGTAGGTGGACCTCCCGTCTTCGACCTGTTCGGTGTCCAAAAACCCGGGTGTCCGGGTGCCATGACCCACGAGGCCCGTCGATGCAGAAGTTCTGAGACGACGAGATGGCTCCCGAGGACACGAGGAATCAGATGGCTCGACAAGGAGTCGAGATGGCTCTCAGGGGAACCGTATAAACTCGGTTGAAATCTCAACATCCCAGGCCTCTGTAGAGGTTTTACAATCCAAATAAGGAGCCTGAAAATAGGATAAAATAGGTTTTCTTCATCAAGCGTCGAGCGTGCGAAAGCACCAACTCTGTAATTCGAGTGCTTTTTGTGTCGTTGCACTGTTCGTTGAACGCATGGACGCATCGCGTTCTACGGCACTACGACGATACCTCAGTCCATACGGACAGGTGTCGGACGGTGTCGGTGTATTTGTGCGAACGGCTTGGGAACACGCTTTGCAGGCGCCATTTGCGGGAGTCAACTCGATGAACGGTGTGTTGCTTCGTTGACCATAACGATCCATCTGCAACTTGGATCTTGCCTGTTGCTGTAGACACAGCTGTAGACACGGCAGTCAGCGCAACCCCAAGTGCTCTCTTTGACCAAAACGGTTCCAAACAAATGCCCCAAATGAATCCAATTCCAGCGCCCAAAAATACGGAATGTGTGTGTGAGTGTGGTGACACACACTTAGATAAAGGCTCGCAAGAGCAGTATCAGTTGAGGTAATCCACTTTAGTGATTACAATACCAGCTTAGAGCGCTGCCTGAGACCTGGGAAACAGCCCTGAGAGGAACGGCAAGGTGAATAAGTCCGAAACAATATTGTTTAAATCATCGTCTTGAATCTGCAGGTACATGAGAGTGATCAGCTCTCACTTCCCTCGATACACCATAGCTTCGTTGCGTCAGGTAGGTGTATCGAGCCTGACGCACCTGCTTTGTACACAAGCGAAATTCCTTAGAGACAGGTGTTCACACACACACACACTCCCTCTCTCTCTCTCTCTCGCCACACACTCCCACGATCTGCACCACTCTCCGGGGACAGGGGACGCCTCGACCCCTACCGCCCCACGACCGGACGGGGCCCGGACGGCCTCAGACGCTCCAAGTCCACGGAGACGAAGCCCACGCCCGCGATGAGGGCACTCCAAGTGACCAGCCCAAGGCCTTGGTGCTTCGACGAGCCCGGCACGGCCCGGGCGGAGCCTACGGCTTCAGCGGCTACGTTTCACTGAGAAGGTGGTTGGGGGTACACCGGAGTTCCGAGACTCACATGGAACCGGGCGACCCGCATGGAGACTGGGTCTGACGGTCTGACGACGGTTTTCCCAAGACCAACCCAACGTGGTGAACTCATGTTCGGTCATCTTCCAGGGCGTAGGTGCCAGCGCGAGCGCCCCAGCGGGTGGGGTCTGTTGCCCACCGAAAAGGAGGTCGAGGTGAACAGCCAGCCGGGTGGATCAAAGCGGGAAGGGGGGGCGTTGGCGGCATTGGGGGCGTTGCGGCATCGTGGGGTGTTGGCGGCACGGTAGACTCAGGAAGGCGCGTGGGACTGGAAATAGGAGTGAAAAGCCTTTGGACACCCTTTGGGCTTAAACTGGAGATCCAAAGAAAACTGAATGGCCATGGTTGGCGGATGAGTCAAGTGACAATCAAGAAATTCCCACCACATGCATGCTGGTGAAAAGATTTCTCAACACAAACTCTTATTTGACCGTGGAGTTGGTGGTCATGGATACAGTTACAGTATACTCTTGATAAATAAAAGCCCCCAGACACGGATTGTAAAACCTCTTCAGGCTTGGAGGATGTTATTCATCCAGAGTCTATATTAGAGATTCTATGAGGCTCTCTCCCACCAGTGCCCCTGGACTTTTCGCTCGACACTCGCGGCCAACGTCAGTCATCGTACCTGGCGATGACTGGTCGGACTCATGAAAGTGTTTGACAACCCCTTGGTTAGACAGCATCTATGGTCCAACGTCTATGGTTGACAGAACCTGAGAAAGAGTTATCCTGAGGAAAGATCATGGGTCGATTCTCAGAATGGGGAGATAAACCTCTCAACAACCGCAGGTAGTACCACTCATCGACTCATCCACCAACTTAACCATGGGTCATAGGTAGAAGCAAAGGGTTGGAAGTCTTGCTGGAGACCAAGTTAGCTTGTAAATGGTGTGCTGCCTCTCAAAACACTGCCCTTGATCGGATCTCCTTACATTCCCTTTCTGTGTGTGCTCTGGACCACCCCCAAACCAAATTGCTTGGGATCACAGCCAGCCTTTCACGTGTGTGTTTCAACCCTGACTTCGAATTCGTCATTTGTCCCCTACAGGGACAGGCTTCGAAGAAGAATCGAAAGGCTCATAAGCCAATGTAAAGAAAAGAAGTACAGCCAACAGGCTCACCTGAATGCATTAGGTGACAGTCTCATAAGCCGCTTATCAACCACATACATTCAGTAAAGACACCGTTTTGCAGGGGGTTGTTGCTTCACATGCACCTCCAAAACCTGGGTTTTGAGCTAGATGTTTATCAAACGGTCTTCAGACCAGGCCTCCACAAAATTTGGAGGGATATGGAAAACTGCTAAGAACAAAACACCCCCTGCCGTG